ATTGCTCCAGACAAAATTAGCATGATGATTATTTACAGTTGTTTATTTGTATGATTCATATATTAATTTATAGCATATTGAGAAACTTGCGAAAAACTTTGTTTTTTAGAATACATTATGCACATTCTCAATCATTACTGTACTAGTTGTGTTATGAAATACTTGACAAAATTGTTATTGAAAACAGAGTTCCAATTTGAAACATACACTGCAAATAGTTGTGTTTTTCAGTACTTGACAGAATCATTTTTCACCTTAACTAGATTTGAGTGCTTCCTGTAATTTGCACAAAAAGGCACAAATGCTCCACATCTGGTTTACAACTCCAAAATTGTCCAAAGAAATCCAAGAAATAGTGAGATGTTAAGCTGACACCAAGGGGCAGTTTATCTTCGCGATAAATCGAATTATCGCAACTTGCTCTCCAAGATGTTTCCTCAGTAACCTCGATTTCATGATCTGGCCCAATCGCGTCCGAGTGTTGTCGGCCATATCGGAATTGGGTGAATAAACAAGTCCTTACCATGTTAATAAATGTGTTTAGATAATTGAGATAACCATTGAACCTCCAGTATCGCATCAGAAGTAATGTGTCTTGTCTTTGCCCAACTTTGAGAGCGTGGAGCGGCAAAGACGCGAGACACGAGTCTCGCGTATCGCGGCTTCTCCATGCTCACAGGATACGCGTAACCTCACTACCTTTAAGGAAAATAAGAGAATGCTCGGAGTCTGTATTCATTGTCACGATGGCGTTACGCTGTATTTCTCTATGAAGTTTCCATCGGTCGCCCCAAAGAAGACGAAAAATTGATATTTTTAGATATATCAGCAGATTTCTGCGCATTCTCAGTAAAAACAACCAAAAAAAAAAAACGTGCTCGAACGTTATATTGGCTTGGAGCCTTGAGATTTATTTCTCTTGAAAATAAAATGCTATAGAAAGTGCTTACAAAATTTCAAAGGAACTATTTTTGGTGTCGCTTGGACCGACAAAAACAGATTTAAAATAATTAATGCTGTCACTGATGAACCAAAGGTTACAATCTTCTCAGTTATTAGCTTGATAATCTCTACAGACCAACGTTATTGGACCGAACGATCTCCTTTTTCTTCCTGATGAGCCGGCCACCTCAGTGGAAAATTAAAAAGACCTTTGACTTCCACTCGTGTAAATCACAGGGAGATTGCGTTATTTTCATCTTTCTTTAAGCTTGTAAAAGATATCCGGGAGAAAAGTATGGAAAATAATGGTGATGAAATCGCTGTTATTTTTCCTGAAGGACATGGAGCAATCCAGATTACATATTAACCATGGGGAGTTTCGTTCAAGTGACAAGTTGCAATTTACGTGTGGCTAATAAGTTGTTTGAAAGTTGGTTTTCATTTGTCTGAAACGTTTGTTGTTGAGAACATTAGATGTAAACATCGCCAAATTATGCAGTATCTGATTTTGAGCTTTTTTCGCGAATTGCCCCTGTAAAAAGTAGAGGCAGGTCCGCAGATATTTTTGCATATTTAAAAACTAGAATATTACAACCAGCTAGATGGGTAGTTTCAGTTCCAGAATCGGTGTACTTTTGGAGAAATTCAGATAAACGTTTTCCCTGTTTTACCCGATGAACCGAAACTGTACCGAGATGAATAATCTATTGGTGTCTTCACATTCACTCACAGGGAAAATGAAATATATCGAAGTGAAGACAAATCATGTTACTATGTATGGTAGAAGTGCCAATTTGTAATGTTGTATTTAGCTTGAGATAGAGAAATAAACATTTCACTCTTTTTTTGCGACGTTTTTGTATGAAAATGAAGCCTCAGGCCTCGAACAAGCAGTCGCTGTTACCATGGCAACAAGAGTGCTGCGACCTTTAAAAAGGGCATTTTTGTGCATCCCCCCTGAGTGCCTAACTGCATACAAAATTTCAAGGAGGGTTGAAAATTTTCATTTCCCAAGATGTTTTATTCTTACAGAGACTTGTTCTTAATAGAGTTATCAATATATTTTTAACCGGGTACCCATATGACCTTTTGCTTGTCATCAGTGGTATAAAATAAGGTTTCTTTTCCGTCAGAACCTTCAATTTTTGCCCCATTGCACGGAATGAACACTATACTTAGAATGTTTGTTCTTAGTCATTTTTGCTGTTCCCAAGAATGTATGCAAAATGATAGAGATTTGATTCATTCAGCTGACACGTTCTTTTAAGTTATGGCGCCTGCAGGTTTTTTCAATCAAAAGTCGCGCGCGTAACACACCGGAATTGACAATTCGTCGTAAAATCGCACGAACCTTAGAATGAGTGCAGGCAACTTTGACTTCTGGCGAGATGAAGTGGATGGTTTAAAGGACCCCCTGATATTTTTTTCAGGACTACAACTGAGATTAAAGAGATCCGATCAAACGGATTGTGGTTTTAGTATAGGTACATGAATTTCTTATGACACACAAGAAATGAGCGAAATTCGTGTCTCAAAAAAGCAAAATCGATCGGACCGCTCTTACAGAGACACTCTTAAAGTGTCTAAACTACTTGGACCTTGCACATCTAGTAGCGTAACGGAAACCACGAACACTAGCAGTGAACTTTTGGAAGGTGAAGGCAGTGTGCGTGGAATGTTAGATCAGTTGAATTCTGGAATGTTCTTGAATTGCAATGTAAGCGTTAATTTTAACTGCAAAGAATGATGATTGTAATCCTGGAAGTCAATAAACATTTGTTCGAGTACTGCATTCTTTTGGAAATTGATTTCCAAACACACGTGTTTGGATATCCTAACACGTGTGTTTGGATATCTAATCACGCGTGTTTGGATCTGTTCTTTACCGGATATCAAGAAGTATCCATGTGACTCAAATGAGGCCTTGTGCATTATTAATGAGTTTGAGAAAACATGTTCGCATACTCGTGCAATGTTTTTAAAGACTGGAAGACAAATTTCTTATCTCCGTGTGGCCATGTAATATCCTCTATTTCATAATCGAGGTTTTTGTCTTGTTCGAAATTTTAAAATCTTATCGGCCAAAGCGAAGAATTTGAGAATTGACTTTATTAAGGTGATACGAATCTTGGCTCAACAATGCAGGTCATCTCGCTCAATTAGTCCAGTAAGGGAAGAGTTTATTCATGGAGAACTACATGAATCAATTTAGCGTTTACGTGTAGGAAGTTTTAAGTTTCTTGAACTCACATTATTTTTTCTTAGGGAAGTGTCTGGAGGTCGAAAAGTGAAGTGTTTCCAGGGATAGCTGAGCTGCAATTTTCTTTTTGGCACCAATTCTCATATATCTTCTTTCAGATTTGAATGACCTATAAAGTTGAAATCAAAATTATGTAATCATCATAGGTCAGTGGAAGAAAAATCTGGGCCTTGACAACTGTGAAGCGAACTTTACGCACTCTCTGCAAGCAACGAATAATAAAAGCAGGGATTTGGTTCGTTTTCTTTCATAACTCCTCATAATCAATCGAAAGTTTAAAGACATGTAAAACCGACAAACAATTGAGGTTGAAAACGCTCTTCTTTATTCATCTCATGTTGTTGTACAAGAGAGACTCACAATGATAGTGACTCCCCAGTAATCCTCAAACTTCGAGGATTCTTGCCACGGCATGTTCTTCCAGTTGAAACTTCAAACCTTTCTTATCAAGGTTGGTTTTTACAAGGCGAAGATCCACAAAATGGCTCGGTGGCATCTCGTGTATCACCTTCTTGGCTCTGGAGGAAAAAAAATCAATAATGATCCGTGATTTATCGCTGAAATAGGAAGTATAGATATTGAGTCATGTACTTCGACGCCCTGGTAACCACAAAGATGAAGACAGTTTCCGAACAGCGCGTTCGAGTTGTAATTATGATCGTAAGCGATCAGAATAATTTCAGAGAAATGTCCACAAATGGACCTTTATCCAGCTTTGCAGTTTTGTAATCCGATGCTGTTGAAAAGTTATGATCACAAAACTCAGAAATTTAAGCGAATTTGGCCAATGAAAAAACGTGCAAACCTCGGAGGTGACTCTAGACTGTCGGGTGCACTGCCTCTGAATATATGAGTTATGTTCGCCGCTTCTTGTTACGTAATTTCACAACAATGGACTGAATTTATACTGTAAAGTTACATAACAGAGGGTGACTATTTAGGGACTCGGGAGGGAAACCCATTAAGATCAAGTCAGATACATGTCTGTACACAGCAGTCGAAGCCAAAGTAATTACGTGTAATTGTTTTCATATCGACATTTCAGCATTTTCCCTCCTTCGACCAAAAGGTACATGATAGTGTCTCCCTTGATTGTTCCATCACAAGGAGTCATTTTCTCCGAGGTTGGTTCCCAGCCAAGAACGCAAAATGAATAAAACATACATTTTGAGTCCACCTTACGAGGTAAAAATATTTTAATGGAATAAAAACCTCTAAATCAACAGGTGAGATTACTATGTTGAAAGAAAAATTAGCCTGAAAGGAAGAAAGTGACAAATGTAAAAAAAAATAGATCAATTTGTACAAACTGAGTTTTGCCTAATTACTTTTGAAAAGCAAGCGGTTGTCGCTGTATTACTGCACGTTTGTGGCTTTCATGATGATATTCATCATGGAAATCCGTCGTGAATTTTCAGTAGTGTAGTGTTGCAGATTATGCAAGAAAATGTAAATAATTTTTGTTTTAGATCATTCAAAGATGTAACTCAAAGATCTTTGTGTAATCTGCAAGTTAAAAGGCTGATTAACAGTTTTATCAATAAAGGGCAAAATTACTGAGCGCTGATTGGTTGAGAGAGAGGGCATTTTTTCTTAATCGAGGGCATTTTTAGTAATCAAAAGAGGGCATGATTACCTGTTAATGATTGGCTAATCCGTTGCATAACTTTGCTTCGCGACTCGGGCAATTTTGGAAAATTTTCAAAACTCTCGTGCAATTAATCCTTAATAGTACTTGGCCTCATGTGATTACCTATACAAATAGTGAGGAATTACTCACCTCATTTCCACGGTGGCTGTGGCACACCCTCCATCTTCAAATGTTAATTTCCTGTCGTAGGTCAGACCCTCGGGAAATGCTTACTAAAAATAGTCAGGAATACCAGCAGGATACTTCATAAAACATTTGAATCCATACTTCAAGGTCGGTGCCACTATGTCGACGGCAAATGGAAGGGGTCCGCCCTTTGTAACACGGAATGTCCCCGTTTGTTTGCCTCTGAAATATTCAGATGGAGAGGATTTTCGATATGGTAGTCTTTCATTAACGAAATCACTAGCATATGACTATTTTGGTGTGTTTTCATCACATAAGTGACTTTCGTACAATGACTTCTGGAAGAGTTACTATATGAAGCTTAGATTTATAAACCCCTTTTTCCAAGACAGCCATACGCAGATGAAACAAACGGAATGCATCCACGCAAAAGGACAACTTACAGGTTGATCGTTATTTCACATAAACTTACTCGTAAGGTTTGCCGGTGCCTTCTCCTTCGATGGTGAACGCATGACCATTGACACAGCCCTCCATAAGCCACGTCATCCTCATGGTATCGGCTAAAACCTGAACATTGGAAGAAAATTTGCTCCTAGGTATCGAAAGATTTCGATGATCATCTGCCTAAGAGAGACAATCAGATTGTGACATAAGCGACTGTCGCTTAAGTAGCACGCTTTTGAGGAAGATTCCCCTTTTCTTTCTTACAATTGTTTTCTATCGTTGACAGTTTTAACAGTAAATTCAAACAAAGAGTTAAAAAAGGAAAGAAACGAACTAACAAAAAGCTTTCAACGCCTGCGTGCGTTTTAAGCGTTTCCGGCGAGCTACCGCTGACAGTTATTTTTAAAACTTATTAAAATAATCTCAAGTGAACCCCTTATTTGGGACAGAGAATTCCTTAACAACTTTGCCAGATGTCTCCGAATATTACGTAATTCTAATATTGTATAAGGAAATATTATAATGATAATAACAGTTTATTAAACTCTCTTGCAGTAACTTACTGAATTAAAAAGTTATAATACAATGAAAACTTAAAAACATGAAAACTTGCAAGCTTTTTTATATATGTAATCAACATTACTATTCCACTTAAGGTCGCCATCGATGAATATTCCTAGAATCTTGTAAGTCGATACACGTGCTATACCGTTGTTGTCTACAACTAATGGTCTTCGAGTAAAGCTAGGATATGACATAAAGTTAATTAACATCTTTTTACATTTAATTGGGTTTAGTCTCATGTTGTGATCCACAGAAAAATTGTGAATGTCAGAGACGGTCGAATTGGGCAGACTGATAGAGTTCTTGAGTAGTATTTCTATGGCAGACGTGTCATCCACAAACTTGACTCTCGGGTGCAAATCAGCCAAAAGGTTGTTTGTCATTATTGTGAAAAGCTAAGTATCATTCCTAATTAAATTACCTGAGGCACACCTCTCTTGAGGAATTTCCAATCTGAAAATGTTGCACCTATTCTTACGGCCTGCTGTCTGTCTGTTAGCAACGCAGAAATCCAATTAATGAGCGCGGGATGAACCTGTAATTCGCAACTTAGTCAACTCGATCAAAGCCTTTCGAAAGGTCAGCGAAGAAGACCCGGGCTCCTAGATCAGCACAAGCTACTGCCTCGTAAATGGCTTCTAACACGAATAGAAGAGCATGTGTTGTCGAGTGACCTGTACGCGCGAACTGTCGGGGGTCGATTTTCCATTTTTCCATAATATTGCATGAGGTAATATTGCATACCTTGTCATGTAACGCGCAAACTGTCGCGGGTCGATTTTTCCATTTTTCCATAATATTGCATGAGGTAATATTGCATAAGGTTATGTAACTTTTAAGGTGCCTCCGTAAAGTTTTAACCTGTTTATGACGCACTCAGCGGCGTTGTGTTTTCATGCATAATTTGTATTCTCTTCTGCCTTTGAGATCACTAAAAGTTACCATATACAATAAACAAGGGTCGGACTGTTATTTTATTTAGTTAAAATTAAAAAAACGGTTTCCGTTCTTTAGCTAAAACACAACAAAGGAAGATACCCACTAGCGGTAATCTTGCTTAATTTGAGTTGAATTTTCTCCAAGTGACATTGGTTAAATTCTTCAACAATTTCCCCAAACGTGAAGTTTGTCGTGCTGATCATTTTGAAGTCGAAAGTCGGTTACAAAGGCAGTTTCTTCGCTGGTAACACATCTTGATTCCTGCCTCAAACTTAAAATTAATTGACAATAGGAAAGGGACAAATATGTTAAACGCTCCTCCAAATCTTTAGGAATTCTACTGATGGAAACACGATGAATCCCATTCGGATGATCTCTCTTCTTTCTTCCAAAACGTTTCGTCATAAAATAGAACTTCGTCAAGATCGATATCTAAGCATTCGTAAACTTTTGAAACTGTTGTCTTTTGCTACCTTACCCCAGTATCTTCTCTTCTGTCGACCTCTTTTTCAGGCGCAGAAGACCTTTGGATATCACGAGTATCGTTGCTTGATACCCAAGAGTCTACTTATCCAAAAACTGTATCCTTTTATACACATTTTTAAATTACAATTGTGTGATCGTGTCATACATACATACCTACACTTTATTTCAAGTCGAATTATCTGAGCAGCTCTATTGAGCTAATATCTTCGAGAAAGAAAAATATTTAAATCAATTAAATATTCATTAATTAAAACTACTTCTGAAAGTTCATTTTCTTTTTCTTTTTAGCTGTCTTAAAATCTTTAAATGATGTCATTGTTCTCATACTGTCTGAGAGCGAATTGTCGATCCGCCATGTTTGTTTTCTATGTTGACGCCTTATGCTCTCGTCCAGATCACGCACGGTCGAAAACTTGAATGGACTAACCCAATTTCAGTTACGTCCACTCCATAATTTCTACCTTGATGTTCCAATGTAAATATCAGCCCCATGCAATTTCCCTGGGCGAACACATATTGCACGAAAATTTATTCCTGCAACGATCATTACAATATCTTTGCCCGCAAATCTGGCGGGAGTTGCCTAAAGGGTAACTGACGCCAAATTTTTCCCTTTTTTTGTCCCAATACATTCCTCTTAGGTTAACTCTAATCCTAAATGAGCAAATAAACGACATATTGTGTTAAACCAAATTTTCTACAAATTTTTTTTGACGCTTAATCGACTGCCAGCTCTCATCGAGAAATTATAAACTCTTTCTCACACGTAATGCTCAAATAAGCAACCAGCCTCGAACGAACAATTGATCCTGAGTGTCTACAAATCCACGAAGACACATTTTAAAGAATGAAATCTAAGCCATGGATAACCACCACTTTAAGGGTCTCATCAACATAAAAAATAAACTTTTCAAGAAGTATATATATTTCAGCTAAGTCTGTATGTTATTACACCAAATTCAAACTTTATAGAAATGAAATTCATCTCTGAAATCTAAATAAAGAATATTTTTTACAAACTGGATTGCAGCGGTACAATTAACGAAAATCCGTCACGTACCTTTTTGAAATTGTCTGTTAGACATACCTGTATTATACTTGTACATACAAAATCCCCTATTTTGCAGTATGATAAGGGGATTTCACCTAGCAGACTTGTTTAACTCCAGCTTCGACAGATACACCATGTAGTTGTATAATTTGCCGCATGGTTACATAAAGCGGGGCGGAAACGGGCAAATTTTTTTAGGGGGAATCCTCCAAACTGGTGCACGTAGTGGTGCATTTAAGTGCCACTCTCGCTAAGAGCGGTCCTATCGACTTCCCGTCGGAAAAACGTTTTCTTTTATTTTTTGCCCATGAAAAGGGTTTAGGACACATGTTTCAAAAATAGTTTAGTTGTTCACCAATTCTCTTTTTTTGCGTCGCCACAAGCCAAAAATGATTTTTGGCCAGACCACCCCTGTGGACAGCGATCGATAATGTAAATTTCAAAGATTTTGTCCAGCGTGCAGCGACTGCAACAATGTAGCTCACGGAATTCTATCTTGCTGCAAGTTACAAGGTGTATTCAGTTAGTTCACAGACAAAATATGGAAACTTCAGCTGAATATTTTTCATACCAGCGTGATCAGAGGAGACCCTTCTCTTTGACCTTAATTTGCATATCAAAAATTCACTACTTTGTACGAAAGAATTCTCAAAATGTAGGCGTTAATCGGGCTGAAAAAGTATATCAGTGCATAGATTATACACCAATGAGGTCACAGATTGCCTCAAACCCGCGGGTATATCTCTAGCTTTCATCCACCAACTTCTTAAAAACAACGCAAATCCATGTGTTTGCTCAATTGCGCTCGTGTCAAAGATCATTTGTATGATTCTTAGAATTGACCAAGATCTCCTTTTGACCGTTCAAACTTCGTTCGTTTATCTTCTACGTTGAGGATTTTAGGTTTTCACAGCAACTGAATGGAGATTAGATGCCGAGTTGTCCTAAAACGTTGCGTAAACGTGATCGTTCGTAACGCTTGCGCGCTTGCGTGACTTACAAAGTAGACAAAAGTGATCGGAAGGCGCCTTCTCGATAATTTACGTTGAAATATCAGGTCATGACCTACGCACAGTGTGGAGAAGATCAAAATTAAAGAATGAAATTTGGCACTCTGGTCACAACAGACATATCGCGTTGCTTAAAAGGACATAAAAACAAGTTAAAATAGGTTGCAGTGTTTATATTTACAAAACAACACGCATACACTCTGAAATAATTCTTGGAGTTTCTCCAGAGATTTAGTATACGGAACCCGATGAACTAACCCTCTTTCCGTAGATTTTTTCCCATCACTAATGATGTTACGCTCGTATGGATCACAACGGTTTTGAGCGACAAATTCGACATTTCCCTGCGACCATCAAAATCAACTGGACAAACCCAGCTTGATATATTGCGTGACGTGATTGTGCAAATTTTTCCCCTTGCCATATGGCCTGTTTCTCGGGTTCTTCAAATTGAAACCAAAATTAGTGTAACGAATTAGAATCGAAAGTTATTAAAATGGACTGAATTACATTTTAATGAGAATTTTAACTTTTAAAAAGGTTTACTTGATTCATGGAAAGCAAAGATTTGAGTGGCTTTGGGTATTTAAGCCCTGATTTCTCTCCTGGTATGCCGGTGTCACAGCGAATTTGGACCCCCCACGGATTTGGACCCCCGGTCCAAATCCGCTAGCGGATATGGACCCCCCTTCGCAGATTTGGACCCCCTTACCAAACATTCCTTTTAAGCATCCTTTGTATCATATTTGGTAACTAATTCTATTTGCAAGCTTTTTTGTCGATGTTCTTTTCAATCACAACACAACATTCCTCAATAAAGGTTAAAAAAAAAAAAACAAAAACCAGCCATTTCGTTCCAGTTCTACCGCATTTATTATAGCGAGTCGTACAGTATACGCAAGAATTACATGTGAACAAACTACTCCATTCGAACTATTAAAATTGTTGCAATAAATCTTTGCTTCTTCTGATGCGAATCAACATTGGTACGAAGCGTCATAACAATAGTGGAGACTATTGCGTCCAGTCGCAAAAATAACTCAGTCTGATTTTCTAAAATAATCACATTAAACAGTTTTTGAACAAGAGCGAAGAAATTACTCCTGTTACAAGTCGTTCGTAAACCCTATGATAAGTTAAAATGTTTCTATTCTGAACTATTGGAACTCTCAGCATATTTTCAGATGCAAATCAACATTAATGTCAACGTCTTAACAAAAGTGGAGACTATTACATCGAACTCAATCTTATTTTCTAATTTTAACGATTATTAACTGTTGAGGGATCCGAAATAACACCTTAACAATTACCAAGACGTCTAGAGTCTGGCAATCTGCCGACAATGCAGAGCCACTGGTCATTTTGGCCACAATATGGAAAAAAATATAACACTTATCGGTATGTTCTAAACATCCGAGCTCTTTAAGAAACATTGGAAATGCGGTGAAAGTACTTGTTAACAGTCACAGCACAAGGAAAAATGTGAGGCAGTAAAAGAAAGCCAGACTGACTGGAGATGTTTCTGAAGTTTTCGGAATTAAAGTTGTAGTCGGATCACATGGGTAATATATTTGCAATTTATCGAGAGTGAAGGCTACCATTTAACTAAAAATTGGTTCGTAAGTGCCTATCTGGGCTATCTGCAATAGCAGACAAAACCAGAATTCTCTTGACAAAATCAAATGAGGCATGACGAATTTTTGTCTCGATTTTTGCATCCACTTAAAACTTCAAAACTGTCAAATTTCTTCGGAGCTTGATCTGCACATGAGACCAGCTGGCATAGTTTACCAATGGACTCAAACTCCAGTTTCAGGATTCATCGTACGTCGTTTCAAAGTTTTAAAATCCAGGAGTTTCGCGACAAAAGAAAGTTAATGCCTTCCAGGTAAATTTTAGTGAGTTCAATAACAAGCAGGTGGCAGCTTTCACGACAAATGGCGTTGGAAACTCAGTCTCCCTTCACTGCCTCACATTCTTCTTTTTGCTCTGGATGCTAAAAAATACTTTTACTACATTTCCAGTGTCCTCTCAGGTGTTCTGGTTCCAAATTAGGGCTGAAATACCCAAAGCCACTCCAATCTTTGCTTTCCATGAATCAAGTAAACCTTTTTAAAAGTTAAAATTCTCATTAAAATGTAAAATTCTTCAGTCCATTGGAATAACTTTCGATTCTAATTCGTTACATTAAATAATTTTAGTTCCAACTTATAGAACCTGCGAAACAGGTCGTATGACAAAGAGAAAAGTTTGCACAATCACGTCACGCAATATATCAAGCTGGGTTTGTCCAGTTGATTTTGATGGTCGCAGGGAAATGTCGAGTTTGTATTCTTAAACTGTGTGATATGTAAGGTGTATAAAAAGCATTTCAATTTGATTTTCGTTTATTCAGGGGCTCGTCAAAATTCATTTCAAAACTCTTGTTTGAAAGCTTTCTGAAATTGATCAAAAGTACTTTCTTTCTTGTTTGATATTGCTCAGTCCAGATCAGACCATCAAAAACTCCGCTTGATTTCATCTAATAATGTTTGGAAGCAGAAAAATATAATAAACATCTGGAATTTATTAATTTTCTTCGCCCTGCTGACTCCAAACACTCAGTGATTTAATTAGAGTGACAGCCAATTATCAAATTAGTTCATTGAGCAAATTCCGACCGTTTTAAGAGGCTTTCTCTCTTATTTCCACCCGGTCAATTTCGCGTCAAAAATAATTTTGCCTGAAACTCTGTCAACAGAAAGACTTTACCTAGGAAAGAACTAAATTAGATTTGGTTTGATTCGATATAATTTTTTGACTGCATTAGGGGCCATAAGTATTTCCCAGGTTGACGACTCTATCCTACACAGCCGTTGATTTTAGACCTTTATAGGCAAAAATATGCAAAAACCCCTGTACGTTTTCGATTTTTCAAAAGTTATGACCGTTTGAATCAGCACATGTACGAGCATTCGCGATTTTTTCGCTACACCACAATCGGTCATATCGGTTAAAACCTCTAACATCTACATGTTTACAAAAGCATTTTTTTTATGTCATACACGCAAGGCGATATACTAGATAAATAAACTTGGAGAGTAATTTGACAGCAATGTTTACGCCGATGCAAGATAACATTCCTTCTGTTTTTGACATTTAAAAATTTTAAAAGACCTTTTGTGTTGTTGATATAAAAACGAGCAGGCATCGATTTTCGCCCTTTTATCCCTAAATAGAGTCAGAGTTTAACAACCTTTGCAACACATCCCCTATCAGAAAATTAAGAGAGTACGCCGGGGTCACGTATGTCTAAAACGACGGAAGTCATCTCGTACGCTCACCTCTTTGATCAGTGTACTCAGGACTGGTATGCAGTTACGTCAATTCTCGAAGATCTTCTAAAGCAGTTGAAAGTCAGAATCCTTTGCTGCAGAAAGTCCATCTAAGGTCAGATGAAGCCGGTTGCTATCACAACAGCTCCCGAGTAACCGCTGTGAGAGATGTCGCAAAAGGAGTTGGGGTTGAAGTTCATAGTTATCACTACTCGGAGCAGCAGTCTGGTAAAGACATTTGCGATCGTATCCTCTATCCAATGAAGTCCTCTAGGACATGAGAGATGCATTGACGCAACACCCAGTGAAAGGAACAACAGCTGAAGTGAGCATAGTCGACGAATCAGAGAACACTCTCCGTATAAATAAGATTGAGCATTTCAGTTAGTAGCTTCCACAACAGTGGCTGACAAAGAGCCAAGTTCAGAGCTTTTTCTCCCGGCTAACAGCAATGCGACGAAAACATCAGGGTGTGATCGGGATACCGCTGGATGAGGAGGAAGATGTCCAATACGTCGAGGAAAATTCCGAGAGACAAGATCTGGCCGACAAAGTTAACAAAGAGATCAAAGTCTCACATCCAATCTGCTACGACACGTATGATCTCTGTGAACGTTACCACAGTAACACACTTCAGAAATTCAATATGGATTTGTTGAGAGCCATCTGTAGTCATTTTGAGGTCACTGTAAAATTGAGTGACAAAAAACAGATCCTCATAGACAGACTGTCGGACGTGATTAGTGATTGTCAATGTGTTTCTCAGTAGACTTATGTAAACAATGTCTTATACGGTGGCTGAAAGTGTAGAATATGCTCTACAGATACAATCTACCTTTAGTTCCGATATCAAGTTCTGACGGCGTTGTTATAGTGTAATATATTATAATATCTAGTAGTCAGTGAAATGTTTTGATGAAAACGATAGAAAATTTACCAAAAGCAACACTTATAAAATCTGTTCATACGAAGCATGTGTCAAAGTCTTCATCACGTTGGTAGCCGATTTCTTCGGCTATTGACAGGTTGCTGATCTGTGGACACAATCGACGCGGAACAGAGAGAAGCAAGCTCAGGATATTTGAAATTGATTTATTAATTATATAATATGATCAAACTCCAGGTAAAAAGCATTTATTCTTTTCATCCAAAACTTTTCTCCCCAATTATTACATTGGGGTGTAAATTGGGATACAAAACAAAACCATAAGGCACAACGTACGGCACAAGCTATCAGCGGTCTTCTCTTTTGTGCGGACCTTTGTGAAAACAGTATAATATCGAGCTGAATCATCGTGATCTAAATTTAAGCGATTATTTCTTCACTTCAGAAGCCTAAAACCTTCATTTCCCTCTAAGCTTCCAGACATGGAGAGTTTACATTCTGACTCTGGAAAAAATTCAGCTCTGTAGCGATGTTAAATGGGTTATTCACCGCGAAATGTGGCCAATTGTTTTGATACCACGAATCACGATGGATGCCGCCTACTTTTCGAAGGCAATACCTCGCTATTTGTTGAGGTCATCATGGATTTCACCAATCTGGTTATTAGAAAAAATTCTGAAGTGAGCCATGAAGCCGGGCTGCAAAGCGGGTAAGCTGTATTTATGACGAAATCTGCCCTAGTGGTTGGATTTTGGTCAGTGTAGGCGAAAAAATCGCGAATGCTCGTACATGCGCTGATTTAAACGGTCATAACTTGTGAAAAATCGAAAACGTAGTGGGGTTTTTGCATATTTTTGCCTATAAAGGTCTTAAATCAACGGCTGTGTAGGATAGAGTCGTCAACCAGGTCCCAAATCCCAAAACTTAACGTCTAAATCAAGGTTATTTACGGCCATCGGCCTATGGCGATTTCTAGTGGTCAGAATATGCTAAAATTCGCCTTTTCAGAATATTTAGAGGGCAAATTCTAACTTTCTTGGCAAACTAGAAAGGTTTCTAAGCAATCTGATATAAATTTTGTGGCTTAACTATGCGAATCAAATATTTTACAATGTTCAGAATATGCCTATTTTTCAATTTCCGAGACGTTGCGACGGTCCCTACGGACTGGGAAATAATTATGGCCCCTAGTGCGGTCAAAAAATTATTTGAATCAAACCAAATCTAATTCAGTTATTTCCTAGGTAAAGTCTTTCTGTTGACAGAGTTTCAGGCAAAATTATTTTTGACGCGAAATTGGCCGGGTGGAAATAAGAGAGACAGCCTCTTAAATAAGGAGCTCAATAAATTGAGAGTGAAACGAGACTTATCTGCAAGTTGAAGTTTGATGGGAATTCAGTTGAGTCATCATGAGTTGCTAGGGATCACATGAGATTGTGAAATCAACTTTGGAAGGCGAAAAATATTATAAATTGAGTGGGTTTATTTCATACGCAAGTAAGGGTGGGCATGTGATCCCTAATACCTTAGGATGACTCATAAGAATTACCATCAGGCTTTAACTTCCGCCAAATTCTCATGTTCTTGAATTGGTTTTTAGTAAGACTTTGCAAAGGTGCAGTGTCCTGACCAACCAGTAGTTCTGAGAATGGTATCAAGAAGTACCTTAGCCAGTGCAGCTACACTAGTTGGTGATGCCCTAACACTATGAGTTTTAAAACGACTTATGTCAATACCAAAAGTGCTCTTAATCTAACGAGATATAGCACTCTTAGTAGCTGCTTTGTATGGTTTAACATATGTAACAAATAGACTTGTAATACCCTTACCAAAGTGTTAGGTACGTCCTAAATATTCCTTTATACTAACAACAACACAGAGATTAGCGTCTGAAGGATAACCTGGGAACTCCAGCTCGAGTCCAGGTTTGGTTTGCTTAAGTTTGTCTCCAATTGAGTACGTCCAACAACAAGTTTTAAACGTCCAAGAATTGGAGAGTTTGGCACCTCTCTGTGCTGATAAAATTGCAGCAATTTTTTATGTTAACAATTTCAATGTTAATTCCTTAACTGGAGTCAAAGTACTTCTTCAAATTGTTTAACAACCTAGAGGGGTCCCTGGTGACAGTGTATCTTGGTAAAGCAGGTTTTTGCTGAAAAACCTCTTTAAGAAAGTGCTTCATAATTGGTAGTTCTCCAAATGAAACTCCTAAAGAGATGTGTAATACCTGAGATAAGGAAGATCTAATTGTGTTCGTAGCACTGTAGCCCAGGCCTGGTTCAAAAAGATCCATCATAAAATCTAAAGCTTGTGTTGGAGTGGCCTTGAACTTCTTGAGGTAAATGGAATACTCCTTCTGTGTACTCCCTTTCTAAGAGTGCGAGATGGTTTTGGCAGCTTTTTGCAAAATGCCTCTTGCTGTGTGAGAGTTCCTGATGACTTGCATGCGAGAAGAGTTAGTGTCTTTTGAAGAGGATGTGCTTTTTCCTGTCTGAATAGAAGGATCAAGGTCCATGGATGCTTGGGAAGGACAAGTGAATGATCTATTAAAAGACGTTGAAGTCTGGGAAACCAAACTTGAGTTGTCCACATTGGAACAATTTGAAGTACCCTGTTGATGAGAGCAAATGGAAGAAAGGTATGAAAATGTTGATCGATCTAGTCAACAGAGAAGGCATCAATAGTCTTCGCCTCTGGGTCTGGTTTCCAGGAAACAAAAGGTTTTAATTGATAGTTCAACCTGGAAGCAAACAGGTCTATTGAAGGCTTTCCTCAAAGGAATGTTATGAATTCAAACTATTTGGGATTAAGTTTCTACTCAATAAAAGATTTCTTTACCCTTGACTCTTTATTAGCCAGTATATTTTGTTTCCCAGGAATGTGTATTGCAGTGTTACCCGTATATTGTATGTTGTGTTAACACACCATAACCATAATTCCCGGTTAATTCCATTGCATAAGACACTTTGACCACCCATGCTATTAATATACGATATAGCAGTGGTATTGTCAATCATGGCTTTCAGATGAGAATTCTGAATATCTGAGCAGAATGCTCTCAAGGCAAGAAAACATGCTAAACTTTCAAGATAATTGATGTGATGCTTAGATTCATCTTCAGACCACTGACGCCCAGTTGATATGGAATAAAGAACTCCTCCCCGGCCCAGGGGCATTTAAATAAATTGTCACTTGAGGGGTAGCGTGGGTTACAGTGTTAATGTTTTAATCTGCCAGCAACAAATGATATGCTATATGCATTGGCGTGATTATTATCATTATCAAGACTCCCCTGCAAATTTAGGTGGTCTTGAGGCTTAGCAGCAATTATCATTGGCATTCAGATTTCCCCTTCCTTTTGGGGTCTAGAGAAGATCCCCTCCCCACCCCCTGAGTTTTCCATGAAAAAGGCTTCTGATTTTGGTGCTGCTGGTGATAAGAGAAATTTGATCTCCTTTGCTGCTTGTGGTAATGTCCTGACTGCTTGGATGAAACTTTGACATCCACTTTGTTTGTCTCAGAAATTTCCTTCACTGACTTTGGTAAATCAAAATATGGTTGCCTTTAATTAGTTTTCATTCTTTTAAAATTCTGGCTTTCACGTTTGCACTTGCCAAGCTAAAAGTAGAGACAGAGCGAGATTTGCATCGAATAAAGAATGAAATCCCTCAACGAAACCTATGATACAAAACACCAATGAACATTAAGTAATTATAAGCTTTCACGTGAAAAGTGCTATCTTCACACGGTAAAGATGCAATATTTCATAAGAGAGGGCGAGTGTTTCATCAGGGTTACCAAACACGAGAAAGCTGATGAAAGCACGAGGCTGAAGGCCGAGTGTTTTTGTTGTTTTCAAGTGTTTGAAAATCCTGATGAAACATGAAGCTCGAGTTTATGAAATGGCTCCTCAAAAGGGCCTACTTTATTAACAATAAACACAAAAACAGAACGTCCACGTAAATATTCAGTATTTGTGTTGTTTTGTTTTATTGTCGCTTGTGCGTGGTTGTTAGTCAGTGTCATGAAAGATGTTGTGTTTTTTCACAAATTCGGCTTTTAATTGAGAGCAGTCACCCTTTGCATCGGCGTCCCATTTGCAATTTTGAGTGTTAAAGTGTCTAAACCACTTGAACCTTGCACATCTAGTAGCGTAACGGAAACCACTAGTACTAGCAGTGAACTTTTGGAAGGTGAAAGCAGTGTACGTGGAATGTTAAATCAGTTCAATTCTGGAATGTTCTTAAATTACAATGTAAACGCAAATGTTAACTACAAAGAATGATTATCATAATCCTGGAAGTTAATAAACATTTGTTCAAGTACTGCATTATTTTGGGAATTGATTTCCAAGCACACGTGTTTGGATATCCTAACACGTGTGTTTTGATATCTAATCACGCGTGTCTGGATCTGTTCTTTACCGGGTATCAAGGGCATCCGTGTGACCCAAATGAGGCCACACAATTAGTTAATTACCTCATGCATTATTAATGACTTTGAGAAAACATGTTCGCTTACTCGTGGAATATTTTTCTCTGCGCAGCCATGTAATATCCTCTATTTTATACTCGAGGTTTTTGTCTTTTTCAAAATTTTAAAATCTTATTGGCAAAAGCGAGGAATTTGTGAATTAATTTTACTAGGGTGATACGAATCTTGGCTCAACAATGGAGGTCATCTCGTTCAATAAGCCCAACAAGGGAAGAGTTTATTTATGCAGAGCTGCATGAATCAATTAAGTGTTTACGAGTAGGAAGTTTTAAGTGTCTTGAACTCATATTATCTTTTCTTGGTAAAGTGTCTGGAGGTCGAGAAGTGAAGTGTTTTCTGGGATAGCTGAGCTTTAAAATTTCTTTTTGGCACCAATCCTCATATCTTCCAGATCTGAATGATTTATAAAGTTGAAATCAAAATTATGTAATCACCATAGGTCAGTGAAGGAAAAATTTGGGCCTTGACAACTGTAAAGCGAACTTTACGCACTTTCTGCAAGCAACGAATAATAACAGCAGGGATTTGGTTCGTTTTCTTTCATAACTCCTCGTAATCAGTCGAAAGTTTAAAAAGATGTAAGAGTGAGGTACATTTGAGGTTGAAAACGCTCTTCTTTATTCATCTCATGTTGTTGTACAAACAATGTCGAGACTCACAATGATAGTGACTCCCCAGTAATCCTCAAACCTCGAGGATTCTTGCCACTGCATGTTCTTCCAGTTGAAACTTCAAACCTTCCTTATCAAGGTTGGTTTTCACAAGGCGGAGATCCACAAAATGGCTCGGTGGCATCTCGTGTATCACCTTCTTGGCCCTGGAGGAAAAAAAATCAAGAATGACCCATGATTTCTCGCTGAAATAGGAATTATAGATATTGAGTCATCTACTTCGACGCCCTGGTAACCACAAAGATGAAGACAGTTTCCGAACAGTGCATTCGAGTTGTAATTATGATCTTAAGCGATCACAAAATTCGGAAATTTAAGCGAATTTGAATAACGAAGAAACGTGCAAACCTCGGAGGTGACTCTAAACTGTCGGGTGCACTGCTTCTGAATATATAAGTTATGTTCGCCGCTTCTTATTACGTAATTTCATAACAATGGACTGAATTTATACTGCAAAGTTACATAACAGTTGGTGCCTTTTTGGAGACTCGGGAGAGAAACCCGTTAAGATCAAGTCTGTTTACATGTCTGAACACAGCAGTCGAAGCCAACGTAATTACCTGTAATTGTTTTCATATCGACATTTCAGCATTTTCCCTCCTTCGACCAAAAGGTACATGATAGTGTCTCCCTTGATTGTTCCATCACAAGGAGTCATTTTCTCCGAGGTTGGTTCCCAGCCAAGCGTCTTGTTTTGCATGACAGGCCCGTCGATGGGAAAGTTGCCTCCTTGGAAATTGGTCTTGTGCACAAGAGTGTTGCCTTTGAGGCTGTCAAAGTAGAAAGCATTTCAGAACGCAAAATGAATAAAACATACATTTTGAGTCCACCTTACGAGGTAAAAAGGTTTTAATGGAATAAAAACCTCTAAATCAACAGGTTAGATTACTATGTTAAAAGAAAAATTAGCCTGAAAGGAAGAAAGTGACGAATATAAAAAAATTAGGTCAAGTTTTAATTTTGCCTAATCATTTTTGAAAAGCAAGCGGTTGTCGCTGTATTACTTCACTTTTGAGGCTTCCATGATGATATTCATCATGGAAATCCGTCGTGAATTTTCACTTTTTCACATCGAGCCCAAATCTTTGTGTAGTGTTGCAGATTATGCAAGAAAATTTAAATGATTTTTGTTTTCAATCATTCACAGATGTAAATCAAAGATCTTTGTTCAATCTGCAAGTTAAAAAAGCTGATTAACAGTTAAGTAGTAAGTAATTACTCACCTCATTTCCACGGTGGCCGTGGCACTCCCTCCATCTTCAAATGTTAATTTCCTGTCGTATGTCAGACCTTCGGGAAATGCTTGCTTGAAATAGTCAGGAATATCAGCAGGATACTTCATAAAACATTTGAATCCATACTTCAAAGTCGGTGCCACTATGTCAACGGCAAATGGAAGGGGTCCGCCCTTTGTAACACGGAATGTCCCCGTTTGTTTGCCTCTGAAATATTCAGATAGAGAGGATTTTCGATATTGTGGTCTTTCATTAACGAAATCACTAGCATATGACTATTTTGGTGCGTTTTCATCACATAAGTGACTTGCGCACAATGACTTCTGGACGAGTTACTATATAAAGCTTAGATTTATAAACCCCTTTTTCCAAGACAGCCATACGCAGATGACACAAACAGCCAAAGGAAACATAACTGAAATAACCAAATTTGCTTTGGTTAGACCAGCAATGCATCCACGCAAAAGGACAATTTACAGGTTGATCGTTATTTCACATAAACGTACTCGTAAGGTTTGCCGGTGCCTTCTCCTTCGATGGTGAACGCATGACCATTGACACAGCCCTCCATAAGCCATGTCATCTTCATGGTATCAGCTAAAACCTGAATATGGACGAAAATTATCAAAAACCGTCAGGAGAAAAAGATTTTCTGGAGAGGCACTTAACCCGCCTATTCTATTAGCCATGTAAACTACAATTCACTTACATATTTTGAATGAGACATCTTAAAATCTGCTTCGCAAAGTCGAGAAACGAGCACTGTTATCGCCTAAGAGGTGTGTCCTGCAATTGGATCAAATTGATGGTGAGCCTCCCTGGTTTGCCAAATTTATACAGTGCCACTTAACCCAAAAAGACAATGATCAATTATATGTCTGACGCGCCGGATAACGTGTACACAGATTTATATCCTTTTCCGACGATTCGTGTAATCTTTTAAGCTTGACTGTCTGCCCATTTTGGCCTTGGGAATTATTTTTGCCGAAAATAACAACGTGTTACGTGACCTGTTTTCATAACGACCTAACAAAGCACGAAGGTTCAATATGTCATAAACAGACTCTTAATATACATATCTATAAATATAATATTAGTTAATAATGTAATTAAAGAAGTATTGCAAACTGTTTTTTTTTCTTTTTCCGAAATGGAACTCGATGGAACCGTGCAATTCCACCGTTCTGGCCTGCAAGACTGGCAGAGTAAGTTTCAAGGCTAATCAGTTATGTAATTATAGACTTAAGTTGCTTCTAGGTATTGAAATATTTCGATAATTATCTGCCTAAGAGAGATAACCAGATGTGACATAAGCAATTGTCGTGCACTTAACACGCTTTTGAGAAAAGGGTTCCCTTTTCTTTCTTACATTTGTTCTCTTTCGTTGACAGTTTTAACAGTAAATTCAAACAAAGAGTTAGAAAAGGAAAGAAACGAACTAAGAAAGCCTTCAACGCCCGCGTGTGTTTTACCTCATTTTTAAGCGTTTCCGGCGAGTTACCACTGTCAGATATTTTTAAAACTCACTAAAATGATCTCAAGCGAACCCCTTATTTAGGGCAGACGATTCCTTACAAACTTTGCCAGATGCCGCCGAATGTTACGTAATTCTACCTTGCATAATGTAATATTGTATAGGTAATATTATAATGATAATAACAGTTTATTAAACTCTCTTGTAGTAACTTACTGAATTAACGAGTTATAATACAATGAAAACTTAAAAACTTGCAAGCTTTTTTATATAAGTACTCAACATTACTATTCCACTTAAGGTCGCTATCGATAAATACTCCTAGAATCTTGTAAGTCGATACACGTTCTATACCGTTGTTGTCTACAACTAATGGTCTTAGAGTAAAGTTAGGATATGACATAAAGTTAATTAACATCTCTTGACATTTAATTGGGTTTAGTCTCATATTGTGATCCACAGAAAAATTGTGAATGTCAGAGACGGTCGAATTGAGCAGATTGATAGAGTTCCTGCGTAGCATTTCTATGGTGCCAATCACGAAAAGATTGTTTGTCATTATTGTTAAAAGGTAAGCATCATTCCTAATTAAATTACCCGTGGCGCAAACTGCCGCGGGTCGATTTTTCCATTTTTCTATAATATTGCGTAAGGTTATGTAATGCAGCGGCGTTGTGTTTTCATGCATAATTTGTACCAAGCCAATTTTTCGCCTGTCACGAAAGAAAATAAAATTGTAATCCACCAAATGGCGCGAATTCATTGCTTCTTTTGTTTATCGCGGGTGCATTTTTCCATTTTTCTATAATATTGCATAAGGTAATATTGCATAAGGTTATATTGCATAAGGTTATATTGCATAAGGTTATGTAACGCGCAAACTGTCGCGGGTCGATTTTTCCATTCTTCCGTAATATTGCATGAGGTAATATTGCATAAGGTTATGTAACTTTTAAGGGGCCTCCGTAAAGTTTTAACCTGTTTATGACGCGCGCAGCGTCGTTGTGTTTTCACGCATAATTTATATTCTTTTCTACCTTTGAGATCACTAAAAGTTACCATATGCAATAGACAAGTGTCGGACTGTTTTTTTCTGTAGTTAAAATTAACAAAACGGTTTTCGTTCTTTAGCTAAAACACAACAAAGGAAGATACCCACTAGAGGTAATCTTGCTTAATTTGAGTTGAATTTTCTCCAAGTGACATTGGTTAAATTCTTCAACAATTTCCCCAAACATGAAGTTTGTCGTGCTGATCATTTTGAAGTCGACAGTCAGTTACAAAGGAAGTTTCTTCGCTGTTAACAAATCTTGTTTCCTGCTTAATATATCAATATCTTTGCCCGCAAATCCGGCGCGAGTTGCCTAAAGGGTAACTAACGCCAAAATTCTCCCTTTTTTTGGTCCCAATACATTCCCCTTAGGTTAAAGAATCCTAAATGCGCAAATAAACGACATATTGTGTAAAACCAAATTTTCTACAAATTTTTTTGACGCTTAATCGACGGCCGGCTCTCATCGAGAAATTATAAACTCTTTTTCACACGTAATGCTCAAATAACCAACCAGCCTCGAACGAACAATTGACCCTTAGTGTCTACAAATCCACGAAGACACATTTCAGTTTATTTCCTGTTATTTATCTTGTATTATTTTGGTGTTACACCCTACCCTTGCGGTCAGCGAGAAAGATGGCGGTAATTTTTGAGCTTCGTTAAATTTACAGTGAATTTAGCTTATCAAAGCTGCATTTTCCTCTTTTTTCTTATTTTTTCGCGTTATATGTTGTCCTAATTTATCTACGTACCATTATGGGATGTCTAAGAATTCAAGAATTTGTTGGAGGAGGCTTTAGAGCCTCTTCGCAGATGGATTGATGAAGTGAAGAAGTCTATCGCCACTGCGAACTCTAATTATTACCAACTACTAACAAAAATATATCTTGGATACTACAAACCAGCTAAAAGCTTTAAAGGAATCATTTAACGAAGTTGAACAATACTCGAGACGAGACTGCATGGAAATCCGGGGTATTCCAAAGATTTCTAGTGACATGCGGGAAGATACGAACGAAATTGTTGTGGAGCTCGGTTGAAAGATTGGAGTTGACCTGAAAAAAGAGGATATATCAACGAGCCATCGTCTTCCGAGTAAAAGGAAAGCGAACGGAGAAAGGTGTATTACATGCTAATCCTGATCCTAATATAATGTTTGACTCCTTTTACACTAGAGTCTCATAAAGGCATAATTGATGTTCATATCCCTCTCATACAACTCTCTCAACGTTTATAAAGAATGAAATCTAAGCCATGGATAACTACCTAAGGTAAAAATTAAATAAATTACTTGTTGAGGATGTTGAATTAAATGATTCTAAGTCAATGGCTGATGCTTTTAATAATTTCTTTACTAATATTGGAAATAATTTGACAAAGAATATTCCTCGTGTAAATAAATCCTCCATTCGGTACCTCACAGCCCCACCTCAAGACAGAAGACAGTTTCTTTCTATTTCCCACAACAACAGTTGAAATTGAAAATGAAATAATTGTGCGAAATGCTAATAAGTCTACTAGGCCTTACAGCATACCAGTTGCTATTTTAAAAGCTACCAAACATGTTATATCTGCACCTCTAGAAATTATAGTCAATGCCTCGTTTTCTACTGGAATTGTCCCTGATTTATTTAAAATAGCTTAAGTTACCCCTGTTTTTAAAAAGAACGTGCAAACAAGTTTAAATAATTATCGTCTTATTTCTATTCTCTATCTATTCCACAAGCTGTTAGTAAAGTTAATGCATAAAAAAATTTATAATTTTTGGAGAAGAAAAAATTAGTTTATTGTAAGAAGTTTTGCTTCCGTGCGGAAACACTCCACTGATCATGCTATCGTAAGCATCATTGACTTGATTCAACATGCAATTGACTGCCAGGAATTTTCTTGAAGTACATTTTTGGATTTCACTAAAGCCTTTGATACTGGAAATCGCAATATCTTGATTGAGAAAATAGATTATTATGGCATTCGTGGTGTTACCAAAGATTGGTTCGTCTCCTATCTTACCAAAAGATATCAATATGTTTCCTTGGGGCAAACTGAGTCTGATCCTCATCCTGTTTCTTGTAGTGTTCCTCAAGGCTCAGTTCTCGGCCCACTATTATTTCTTGTAGATATCCATGATTTAAGTAACTGCTCTGAAATTCTAGATTTTCATTTATATGCAGATGATGCCAATCTGTTTTATAAACACAAAAATCTTAAAGTCCTTGAATCCAAACAATGAATTAGTAAATATTCATACTTGGTTGAACTTTGTCATTTTCCACCCTCCACGAAGAAAGTTACCCTTTCATGTCATACTCTCTTTAAATAGCTTTAACTTAAACCAAGAGTACTCAATAAAATATCTGAGTATTGTAATATATTCTAATTAATCTTGGAAAAGTCAAGTACGCCACAATGCTGAAAAGATTAAGCACAACATTGGAATTCTTTCTAAACTTCGTTATTATGTGAATTCAGATATTTTGGTTAAACTATATTATGCTTTAATATATCCCTTCTTAACCTATGGTTTAATTTCTTGGAGTAACACCTCTTCTTCAGCTACCCAGCCTTTGTTCGTTTCCCAAAAGAGAGCAATACGAGTGTTGACTTTCTCTAAATTTCGTGAGCAGTCCAGTCCAATTTTCAATGCTTTAATATTGTTAAACTGCCTGACCTTTTCTTTCTTAATATCGCAGTCTTTATGTATAACTTTCACAATAGACGTCTGCCATCTGTGTTTGATACTTTCTTCACACAAGTTAGTAAAAGATACATTTATAATACAAGAAGTGTCTGGAATGATCTTTTTGATCACGAGTGAGTACAAAGAATCGTTCTGACGAAGGGCTGACGCTCGAAATTTTAGCTTTTTTTTACTCTTTACGGTGGCCAATTTACGTTATCAACTCAGTTGTTAACACTAAATTACCTGCTGAGTACAATGAAGATTGATTGATTGCTATCCTTGAAGGCCATTTTTAAAACGTTTCAATCCAGGTCACTTGATGTGATACGACACACGTGTGTAAGGTAGTGCAAAAGCGTCATGTCAAGACCTGAACGTAACAATTTCGCCCTCCCTGTTTGGCTGCTGCCGAAATTTACAAGCGAAAAAAAATTTTTTTCCAGTCTGATACAGGCCACTATTTAGAGACTATGAACTACGAAGTGAGAAATTAAATAACGAAGGTTCAATAATTGAAAGGCGACGGATCGGTTCTCTGTATTCAGTCACAGGTTATTTGCACGCCATTCCAAACAGCTGTAAAAAAATAAATATTCCCATAATTTGTTCTTCCTAACAATTATCGAGTCATACACTTAGAGAGATATGTTTAGTCCATGCCGAAAAGTATTGGACTTTAGATTTTGTACGGTGTATATCACTGTGACCTCAGGCCCATCGGTTCTGGAGTGAGCGTGACTAAGCGCTAAGTATTGTCGCGGATTATGGGAGGTCATTTTCTGGTTTCGTGAACGAAACTCTTCTTTCACGTGCCGGAAATGTACAAGAATTAGACTTTTTTATTATTTATTTTTTTTACGGAGACTGGTGAAGAGCACAAAGGAAGACTTCTTGCTGCTGCAACTTTTTTTTTTTATTTCCTTCATCACGTTTCGTCTCTAGCTGAGAGTGCTCCAAGAATGATTACAACTAGCATTGAGCAGCATATATATAGCAGCATATATATATATATATATATATATATAGAGAGAGAGAGAGAGAGAGAGAGAGAGAGAGAGAGAGAGAGAGAGCACATTCGTGTACCTAAGTTTAATGAAAGGTTACTCGTTTCAAAATGTACAATTGCCAGTTGAGTGAACAATAAATTACTCACGCTCATCTATCGTAACTAAAACAAGCCGACAGCCTGAGACCCTACCGGTTAAAATGCAGTGCTTTGGTGATAAAAAGGAACCGAGTCAGCGACAAACTCGTGCTACGGAAATAACAAGCACGTAATGTTTCTCAATTTACGACCTGAACTTTAAAACATATATATGTTCACGCTCAAGTTATCCAAACCTGTACCACTCTTAGCCGTGTTGACATTTACAATATGGACAGAAAACAACACGATGTAAAATGAAGAAAACGAAAAACCAGGGAAGCGCTGTATTGTGATTTTTTGTACCAAAAAAATGCAGACGGAGTCAGCCTTCACCAGTTTCCCCTAACGCTGGATGCAGGACAATACATCTGGCTTCTGCGTGCAACTGTTCCGCTGTAACATCCTCCAAATTTTCATTTTTGACCATATCTACTTATTTTCTTTCTCCCTCTACACTGCTTGGCAATCTCCACGCTAACACCTTGTACTAATTGAAGTATTGTACTTAATTGAATGTACTATTGAAGCGGCCGCGGTGCAAGGGCCCATGATCCTCCTCTGAGTCTCGCGCTCTATTTTAGGTTCGTCCAGGCGGTTCAAATCGCGAGGACCTGATTTCACCAACAGGTTCATAAGCCCCTTTACCCTCCATCGAGGCCTCAAAATCCGAATAATCAGACCCCGAAATAGAACTGCTTTCACTCGAACTACTATCCGCCATATTTACTTTGCTTCACTGTTTTGCTTCACTGTTTTGGTGCATACTTGTAAAAGATCAGTATCCTTCCAATCCAATAAATTTTTAACATCTTACTCACATATGTCAGAAAGTTCTCATTCGTTAAAAAGGATTAAAAACCTTTTTAAAAGTAATCCTAATATATCTTTTTTACAAACTGGATTGCAGCGGTACAATTAACGAAAATCCGTCACGTACCTTTTTGAAATTGTCTATTAGACATACCTGTATTATACTTGTACAGACAAAAATCCTTTATTTTGCAGTATGATAAGGCGTTTTTATCAAAACATTATTCACGTAGCAGACTTGTTCAACTCCAGCTTCGACAGATACATCACGTAGTTGTATAATTTGCCGTATGGTTACATAATGCGGGGCGGAAATGGGTAAATTTTTTTAGGGGGAATCCTCCAAACTGGCGCACGTAGTGATGCATTTAAGTGGTTTTGGTTTCTTCAAGTCGAGCATTAGATAGAACAAGGCAAAACAGAATTCAGGAATGTGTCAAAGTGGGTCATTTCTAGTCTCAGGACATTGCATTTCGTAGCCGCGTAAATGCTCTTCCCGCTTAGGCAAGAGTCACGTCTACGGTTGTAAAGTGGATCTCAATGTGTCTCATTCAAAGCAAGTGAGCGAATCGCAACTCGGTGATTACTCTTTTTTCGATCAATCAAGTTTTCAAACCTTATCGTTACACTACACTATGTAATCGCAAAACTCCGCCTTATAAACGATTTCAGCCTTAATTTGCCAATTCACTGAAACGTTGAATATCACCCACAAAGGTAGCGGTTCGAAAAATAATTACAAGGATTGTCACTCGTTTCGTCTCCCTTTCTTTATGTACGTAAGGGCTTTTCTTATGTACGTGGAAAACCCCGAAATGGACAACTCGCCAAAATGGGGTTTTTTCAGATAACAAGCGATACGCTGTGGAAGTAAGGTGAGGTATTTTTATTGAGAAATTGACGTATTTGTTCATTCCTTAGAGCGGTACTATTATTCCCATACAAACTCTTATAATTCCACCATGACTGTTATTGCGCAAGATGATCATATCACAGCTTGGGCCGCCTGTGGGTGGAATCAAAATTTTCTTACACGGCTGCTCATTTATGTTTTACTCATTTTGCGTTCTGAAATGTGTTTTACTCAGAGGCAACACTCTCGTGCACAAAACCAATTTTCAAAGAGGCAACTTTGCCATTGACGGGCCTGTCATGCAAAACAGGACGCATGGCTGGGAACCAACCTCGGAGAAAATGACTCCCTGTGAAGGAATAATCGGGGAAGACGCTATCATGTACCTGATGGTTGAAGGAGGGAAATTGCTGAAATGTCGGTATTAAAACAAGTACAGGTAATTACGTTGGCTTCGACTGCTGTGTACAGACATGTATCTGACTTGATCTTAATGGGTTTCCCTCCCGAGTCCCTAAAAAGTCATCAACTGTTATGTAACTTTACAGTATAAATTCAGTCCATCGTTATGAAATTACGTAATAAGAAGCGGCGAACTTAACTTCTTGAAGGTGTTGACAGTGATAGGAAATTCTCACTATTCCAAAGAAATACGAATTTCATTCCTGAGGTTGAAAGGTTAGTTATCGACGAAAGAGTCGACCGAAATATTGTCTGAACTAAAATGGGAAAATGACTGTTGGGTGACACATGCATCGTTGAAGTGCAAATTATGGGTTGGCGAAATATATTCAGAAGCAGTGTATTCGAATTCTTGAGAGTTGCCTCCGAGATTTGCTCGTTCTTTCATTGGCCTAAATTCGCTAAAATTCCCGAATTTTGTGATCATTACTTTTCGGTAGCATCGGATTACTTAATTGCCAAGCTTGATAAAGCTTCAGTGGTGGACACTTCTCAGATTTTATATTGATGGCTTACAATCGTGATTTCAGCTTGAATACACTATTTAAAAACTGTTACCTAGGCTTAGAACATAAGTAGAAAACTCAATATCTACACATCTCATTTCAACGAGAAAATCACGGATCGTTCTTAATTTTTTTATTATCACACAGCCATTTTTTGGATCTCCGCCTCGTCAAGACCAACCACGATAAGGAAGGTTTGAAGTTTTAACCGCAAGAAAATGCCGTAGCAAGAATCTTAGAAGCTTGAGGAGTACAAGGGAATCATAACCATTGTGAATTGTCAATGTCGACATGACTACCGCACGTACGTGAGGCGAGTACAGAGCACAATTTCCACCTTAATTGAATGTTGGTTTTGTGTAGTTATTAATTTTATTTTATTTCTGGTCAGGGCTCCCCATAGTTTAGCTTCTGTTCTGTTGTCTTTTGGCTATATTTCTGTCATTTCAAAAAGGAGGAAAACATTCGCCTTTAAAACCTACCCGAACAGAACATATTGTCAAATGGAAACGCGAGGGCGTTTGTTTGTGAGAGGTTTGAGTAAAGACAGATGATCTCGATTTTTGAGGCAAGAACAACTGAACAAACTAAAAACAATTTTTTTAATAGAAAAGAATAACAATTTTTATTTAAGTTTTTTAAAAACATAATTATTAACTTTTCCGTTGCATTTTCGTTCTAATAGCCAGGAAAATGCTACGGAGCTATATTTAAATATTTCAGTTACATAATACTACACGGAATAAAATTATATAACATGGGGCAGGATCCGTTTTTTCACACCTTTACAGCATACTAATAACCAGGAAACTGCTATGGACCTATATTTAAAAATTTCTATGAGAAAAAAACAAGGCAAAACATACATCGCGTACTTGACTGAAAGGTTTGGTTTAGTTTCTTACAGTTACATAATAGTACACGGAGTAAAATTATATAACATGGGGCGGGATCCGTTTTTTCACACCTTTAATTCTTTTTTAATAGCAAAAATTTAAAATTTAACATCATACTCATCAGTTTGTTGCTTTGCTAAATTCTTTTTTAGAATTTACAATTGAATGTGTCAGTGAGTCAAATTAAACAAGTGCTCAATATAGAAAAAAAATTTTTCTCTCAGATAAACTGAGCGAGAATTATATTTCTTGCGGCATCATAATTACTTTTGCCTAAAGTCTTTGAATTGTCTGTCATATGTACTACACTCAACACACATTTTGGCTCGATATATGTGAAAATGCGAAAATTTATCGCCGATATTCATGTTTATAAAATGTATTTTAAAGGGATATCCAAGGCAAAATGATGTTATGTGGAGCAAATTTTTTAGTCTCATTTTTGGTCCTGTTGCATCATTTCAAAAGATTATTAACAATCTGTATTCTCTTGATTCGATTCTAAAATTTCGAACAGGAAAAAACCTTGAGTATGAATTAGAGGATATTACATGGCTGCGCAGAGATAAGAAATTTGTCTTCCAGTGTTTAAAAATATTTCACGAGTGAGCGAACATGTTATCTTTACCGTGTGAAGGTATCACTTTTCGCGTGAAATCATATAATTACTTGGTATTTCATTGGTGTTTTGTATCAGAGGTTTCGTTGAGAGATTTTATTCTGTACTCAATACAAATCTATGTCTCTTCTTTTAGCTTTGCACCGGATTTTAACCTTAGTGCCAAAGTAAAAGCCTGAATTTTAAAAGAATGAAAACTAATTAAAAGCAACCATATTTTTACTCATGATCGAATTATTACATATTTATATCTCCAGTTTTACTGTCATAATGTCATCTTGTATTGCTTTTAATGAGAATTTCTTTATCTTATCTTTGGTACAGGCATGTTCTTTTCTTCGCAGTGGTTCATTGAATGTGCAATATACTCTAGACGAAAACTTTTGAATAAAATTTCTGCTTTGGAAGATCCTTTTCAATACTTCCAATTTAAATCGAGATGTAATACTTTCGGTCTGTGTAAGAGCGGTCCAGGGCATTTCGCATCGGAACAAAGTTTTCCCTCAAACTTTGCCCAATAAATTATCTTTGGTAGCAAGTAAATAAAACCACACTATTTTCTGGAAATACGTTAAAATAATTTTTTTGAGCTCTCAATAGTCTACTCTGCAAAAGGCCTTTTTTGACCGCTTGCGACATCTAAAATTTCAAAAGTTGAAAAGCCCGGTCCTCGTATCACACCTCAAGCAGCAAAAAAAATATTTTGTATTCTTAAACTGTGTGACATGTAAGGTGTATAAAAGATATTTGAATTATTATATTCGTTTATTCAGAGGTTCGTCATAATTTATTTAAAAACACTCGTTTGAGAGCTCTCTGAAGTTGGTCAAAAGTACTCTTTCTTTCTTGTTTCTCAAGTCCAGATCAGACCATCAAAAACTCCGCTTGATCTTTTCTAAGAAGATGTTTGGCAGCAGAGAAATATCAAAACATCTTGCACTTATTATTGTTCTTCGCCCTGGTGACTTGAAACTTTCAGCGATTTCGCTAGCGTGAAAGACAATTATCAAATTAGTTCATTGAGCAAACTCCGACCGTTTTACATAAGTAACTCAATACACTGAGAGTTAAACGAGACTTGCCTATAAGTTGAAGTTTGATGGTAATTCTGTTGAGTCATCATGAGGTGCTAGTCACATGAGATTGCACAATTCAATCCCAGAAATGAACTTTGAAAGGCGAACAAATCTTAAGTTAGTTAGGTTTATTTCATAAGCGAGTAAGGGTGGGCATGTGATCCCTGGCACCTCGTGATGACTCAATAGAATTACCATCAAACTTCAACTTCTGCCAACTTCTCATGTTCTTGGATTTTTTTTTTGCAATACTTTGCAAAGGTGCAGTGTCTTGACCAACCAGCAGTTTGGAGAATGGTATCAAGAAGTACCTTAGCCAGTGCAGCTGCACTGGTTGATGATGTCCTAACATTATGAGGTTTAAAACCCCTCATGTCAATACCAGCCAGACCTAAAATGTTCTTAATCAAACGAGATATGGTACTCTTACTAAAAGCGTTGTATGGATTAACATATGCAACGAATAGACTTGTAATACCAATTCGAAGGTGTTTGGTACGTTCCAAATATTCTTTTACAATAAAAACAACACACAGACTAGCATCTAAAGGATAACCTGGGAACTCCAGCTCATGTTCACGTGTACCAGGTTTGGTTTGCTTAGGTTTGTCTCCAATTGAGAACGTCCAACAACATGCTCCAAACGTTCAAGAATTGGAGAGTTTGGCACCTCTCTGTTTAGCAATGGATTCCTCGTCGCCTTATTGGTTCGAGTCACTCATTTCGTCTCTTTTCCTCTTACGAGACGTTTTATTCTGAGTAATAGTTTCCATTGCAGGTCTCATAGAAGATAGCAACGGTTGATGAAGGTCTCTCAGTTCCTTCAAACCTTGCAAAACATGAGAGGATTGCCCTGTGGACATCACATTCGAGCGAGTGACCGTATTTTTTACGAAAATTTTACACGCAGCCGTATTCTTATGTCTCTTGTTGAACTCTGTGAGTTCAGGACATTGTCTGCTCCAGTGCACGCAAAGCATAGGCACTCTTATAGGAAGTTCTGGCGCCAAAGATCAGCGAGCCAGTATCCGACACACCCTGGTAGCGATTTCAAGGGGGCAAAGAGCCGGTATTCTGTCAATCTGCAAATGTCAAAGGCCATTTCTAAGATGTATGGAGTTCTTGTTCAAGTAGGTTCAGGTAGGAACAAGTGATTTAAATAAATGGCTGATTTCAACCAATGTCTACCGTTTTCTTCCCAATTGCCTGTTCGTATATTAATTTACTCTTTCCTACGTCCAGTTTTTTGTATCAACTGCCTCAACAAGCACAATGCTTCTGTGACGGAAATTCCTTAAGCAGTAGTGTTCACCACTGCTCAGGTAGTGAACACTGCAGTTATGAACACTACTGCTCAAGTAGTGTTCATTACTCCTTCTCCGTCTTTATCCGTACTTCAAATACATGCCTTAACTTTAGTAATCATAGCTTACTGGTGTCTTGCCTGTATTAAGGATCTCGAGGTAGTTGCCTTTTGGTTTTGTTAATGGCAAGACACACTGAAAGATATATCGGATTGTATTGATTCAGTTTTTGTTGATATATTGTAAACTACAAAACAGATGATCTTGGTGCTAAAACAGTTAGCCCGCGTACAAGGCTCTCGGCGAAAAGCTTGAAGCAAGCATCTGAGTGAAGAGACACGATGTCTTTCTCTCGCGTAACTTCTCGCTCGCGCGTGCTAGTTTTTAATCACTCGCGCCTAGTTGACTGGGAGCATGTTGCCCAGCTTATGTGTAAAAATTCATCTAAAACTCAGATCTTCTATCGAAGGCCAAGCAAAGATGCTGCTCTTGAAATGTTCAAACTAGCCATGAGCTCACCTATTAGACCAAGGTCTTCCAGGCTATCCCATAGCATCAATGATGAAATGTAGACTCCTTGAGCCGTGTTGGCGCTTGACGAAGGCATATAGAGAAATACAGGATTTCAGACCAGCGGGGGAAAATGTCCAAGATCCAGTTCAAGTCTTCAATGCATACATTGATAGCCTTGCCGATGCTATACAAAAGCTCAGGATTACACATTTGGAATCCCAAGTAGATTATTGGGAAAAATGCTCCTTTCCTGAAAAATCTGGATTTGTTCAAAAAGCTGGGGAAGCGTGCCAGCTGGTGTGCGATGTCATGGCTCCATGAGATGGTGAAGCGTTATTCCAAGCGATCGTAGACCATGAACAGAAGTGCAAGACATCTATCGATGTTGGCCTTCAAATCCTTACAGTTGCCTATCTGAATGCTCCCACAAAATCAGTTAAGACTCAAAAACTGTTTTTATTTATGCTGACAGAATCTCAGCCAACGAGCTTAAACGCATACATCAGACATTTGAAAACCTCTCCGATAAACAAATAAAGAAAGCAAGAGCACAGAGTGAGTGGCCTGGAGTGCCTACTGAAAAAATCCACCGTCACAGAATCCGTAAACAACGTAACAGCGTCAGCTAGACCACTTCTTAGAGTTCACTATAAGGCCATATTACTATCAAGACCAGCCTACGGTACTCGCACCATCAAACTTGAGAGCGATTAAGAGTTTGTCATACCTAACGTGGTGCGCACAGTGGTTAAGTGCACCATTATTAATCAATACATGAACCATTGCAAAGATATGGAGAG